ATCCCCTTTTAGAAAGTGAAGTATAGTTCCCTCCTTGAGAATGGCTAGACATAGTACCATACTCCCACAAGGAAATAGAAAAATAGTAAATTTACTACTAAGGTGGACAGAACCTTAAACTAGTGATTGAGGTTAATATCACCAGTAATACAGTAATGACACTGGAAAAATGTATCTTCCAACCTGCCAGATGTCAGATATGCTAAGTTCATTTCCCTTGGATAGTGAAGAATGAATTCCAAGGGACAAAGGAGGTTAAGAATAAGAAAGTTTTAGTAAGAGAAAGCTCCTAAGATAGAGGAGGGATCCCAAATGGGTAGCCACTGAGGCTTTTCATCAGGGGTAATTTATATAGCAAATCACAATGGGGTTACTGTGTGGGTCAAATTACAGCCAATCTATAGGATTACAAGTATTAGCTAACTAATATTAGCTACTACTGATCCAATAGGGAAATAGGTCATGCAGCAAGGGTGCATGGAAAGAACAAAGGAATTCTTAAAGAGGCAGGGGAGGTATGGGTCCACATGTTCTGGTCATTCGCCTGGGTGTCTGATGCCTATGTGGGCCCATGGGTGCAGGTGGTACCAATTATAGTATAATCTCAAGTTGCTGTTTATCTCTAGAGAGACATGCAGGCCTGGCTATTGCTTTCCCATCCTGAGGCCTGGCTCTGTTCAGATTCACCTCTGGTCACAATTCTGATAACTTTATTTTTTGTGCTGACTTCCTTGAGAGTTCAATCACTCTCTGTATGTTCATTTCTATGTAACTTAGCTGCCTATAATAATAAGACGTATCAGTAGCACACAATCCTGAAATGAATGATGAGAATAGCATTTTCCCAAACCCATAATGAGAAAAACAGTAGACACATCTAAATGAAAATATATTCTGTAAAATACCTGAACAGTGCTGTTTGAAAGTGCCAAGGTCCTGAAAAACAAAGACTGAAACACTGTCACAAACGAGAGAAAACAAAGAAAACATAATAAATAACTATGATGGAAGATCTGAAACTGAATCCTGGGACAGAAAAAAAAATAGTGTAAATACTTGTGAAATTTAGAGTTTAGTTAATGATGTGCAAATGTTGGTTTTCTTCTTTCAGCAAATGTACACGGTTGACCTAAGACATCAACAAAAGAGGAAACTGAGTGAAGAGTATATGGGAATTCTGTACTATCTGCAGCTTTTCTGCAAATATAAAATTGTTCTAAGTAGTTTATTTAAAAATAAATAAATAAAAAGAAAAGCTTGACAGTAACGGTAATGAGAACATCAAAGAAACATAAGAATGATTTTGACCTTATGGCCATTTAGACACTGAGATGATTCCTCTCCACTCAACAGTCTCTTGATTACCAGGAAACAGCACAGATTTACTAAGCATTGCTCTAGTGTGGGGCTCTTCAGACTTTGTGTACATCAGAATGAATGATGATTACTGGGACTCCAGCTCACTGAAGTAAATTAGCATGTGGATTTGTGTATTTTTATAACCTTCCCTGGTGTTCCTAATAGGAACAAATGAGAGAACCACTGCTCTGGTGCTTCCTAGTAATATAACTACTCCATTGTTCTTTATCCACTCAATTTGACAACCATTTATTAAGCAATTATTCTATGTTCACCCTTTGTCAGTACTAAGTAGCAGGCAGAGAGGGGAAGACCATCTCTTGTGGACTTTATGTTTTAATATACAAATGAATGCACACTCATGAGTCTTTCCTTGTATTTCTCAGTTCTAGATCCTCAAAGATAAAACATGATTGGCCTAGTTATCACTACCTTCTGTTTTAGGAAGCAGAACTTTTCCTAAAGGCCAACCCATGGGGCTACTATTCAGGAAGTGTTGGTTACCTGCAGGTCATGGGTTCCCCTACTTCAGTTGGCAGTGGCTGAGTGAGGGCCCATGAAATATGATAGGATTGTCAGCAAAACTAGGTTAGGAAGGTTCCATGACATGTGAGGCCTCCTTGTCTGACCTATTCAGGGGAGTTGCCATCCCAGAATAGCAGGAGCCAAGCTTTCCTAGGCTAGACTGGAGGTAAAAAGTAAGGCTGAACTAGTCAATAGGATAAAAATGCACTTCCATCATGAACTAGTTATTTATCAGAACTCAGAAATAACAAACAACAAACGCTTGTTCCAGAAAAGTAAATTGCTTCTGCTTTGATTTTTTTTTTTTAGCCTGTAGATATTTGCTTTTGCTGGACTTTGCTTTCCTGCTGCCCATGATGTTTCAAAATGCCAGCTTGCCTGCAGCAGATTCCTACTCCAGTTGTGACTGACTTGGACAATAATCTTTCATGGTTCCCCTCTGTCATGTTGTGTTTACTTTTATTAGCTTTGGTAACATTCCTTACATTTTATTCTTTGCCCCCTGTTTGAGTGTATTCTTTAACTAAAAGAGAAAAGACAACTGATACCAGGAGCTGGAGCAGTGGTTATTACATTTTTCCATTCCAAATCAGGTCGACCTTGTACCTCACCCTTTATCAACTGCTACTTTTTAAAAAGTTTGTAAGGTAGCAATAGTAGCCACAGAGGTAACTTATTAACTGAGTCTGCAAAATGAAAAGCTTTAAAGCTATTCATTGCATATATTAAATTCAAATCAACCAATGCAACTACTTAAAAAAAATACACTTACTGCGCTGTGTTCCCAACCAAAAATCAGGGACCTAAAGATGAAAAGAAGTGATTCTTCCCTGAATGAATGGACCATAAATGGTGGAAGACAGACCTGTGATGATGAGGAAGAGGAGGATACTCATGATGATGTTACCAAAAATGAAGGAAGCAGGAGCTCAGAGTGAGAAGAATAATTTTGAACTTAGGGACAGATAAGTAACATTTGAGATGGACTTATGGAACAGTTAAAATTTTTCTAAGTAGAAAGTGTAGAAAATGGCATTCAAGACTGTTGTGGCTTGCGTTTAGATGTCCCCCCAAAAGCCTCATGTGGTCAAAGGTGGGGCTTTTTCAGAGGTGGCTGGATCTAGAATGTGTGATGCCGGAAGTTGATTCAAGGTGCAATGCTAGGATCAAGGGCACTAGGATTAAGAGTGTGAGTGCTTCCCATCCTAAGTAACCTAGATGAGATATAAGGACTAGAAAGAGCTGTGGTCATCCCTTGTTGTTTTGATACCTTCTTCCCACCATGAACTGTTTCTCCTCTATGATACCTATCTGCCATGAAACCCTGCCCTGGAGCCAGCTAATTATGGACTGAAACCTCTACAACCTGTGAGCTAAATAAACCCTTCCCCCTTTAACTTTGGGTGTCAGGTATATTGTCTCAGCAACATGAAAAGTAACTAAGACATAGTGATTAGTATGGAAGTGAAGAGAATAAGAAAGAAAATGGCCTGTATAGGGAAGAGCAAGTAGTCACTCATATGTTACACACACAGTTAGCGCTAAGGAAGGGCTAGACTTGCTCATGGCCGACCAAAGCCCCAGTCCCTAGGGTCTGCAAGCCATGGCTATCAGATATCTGGTAAAACGTGGCCCCAAAATTTTGACCACTGAACATAGCAATAGTTTGTGAAACCCTAGTTAACTAATCACCAAACAGAACCAGACCATTATCTTCAAATCTAGTTCTTACATTCATTCCCTTGCATTAAATTCATTAATGTGCTGGTTTAGCCACCAGGCACTCTGATAAATATTAGGAACATGAAGTCAGGTCCTCTGCAGTTCCTGCCCTTGAGGAACCTAATAACTGGAGACTTCATTATTTATTTATGTATTTCTTAGGCTTTGTGAAAACCTGATACTGATTTATTAGCAGGACAGAGAGAAATGATTTTTTATTTTTAAGTTTTAAATAATCTTCTGTTATTAAGAAAGGAGTAGTTCGTGAGCATTATAGAATATTGAACCAGCCAAAACAAAGTTAAATATCCCTGGATTGCTGAGAGGTAAACACTATAACACTTGGTCCATATCCCCCAAATCTTTATATGTATACATATGTACTAAGACGTATTTTGTGCTGGGCATGCATATGCCTCTACTTTCAGCTACTCAGGAGTCTGAAGCAAGAGCATCAAGGCCAGCCTGCCTGGGCAACTAGCAAGACCCTGATTCAAAGTAAAAAATAAAAGGGGCTGAGGATGTGGTTCAGTGGTACATGCACACAGCTCTAAGATCAATCCCCAGTACCACCTCAAAAAATATACACTTTGTTTAGGAAAATGCTTTTATATGTCCAAAGTCCCACCCTGTCTTTTGAATAGATTTTTTTTCAGTAATTTTCATGGGAATAAATGCTTCTCTTCTCATACTCAGTACATGCTCAAACTTATCCACCTGAGCCAAAAATGTCCTTTACAAGTTGGGCACATTGACATAGCCTGTAGTTCCAACTATTCTAGAGGCTGAGATGGGAGGATCTCTTGAGACTAAGGAAACCAGCCTAAGCAGACCTTGTCTCAAAACAAAACAAAAAAATTCCTTTACAACTAATCAGCTACATTCTCCAAATCAGCTCTATATGCCAGCTTCTCATTGCTGCAACAAAGTACTCAAGATAATCAATTTAAAGGGAGATTAAGGGATTTATTTTGGTTCATGGTTTCTGAGGTTTCAGTGCATAGTAATTGGCTCTGTTGCTTTTGGGCCTGTGATAAGATACAATATTATGGCAGGTGGCACCAAAGCTGCACACTTCATGGAGGCTGAGAAGCAAGGAAAGCTGCCAGGGTTCCAATATCCAGCTCAAGGGCACACGCCCAGTGACCTAGTCTCCTTACAGTAGGCCGTACCTCTTACAGATTCCACTGCCTCCCAGTAGCACATAGGCTGCTGACCAGGCCTTTAGCATATAAGACTTTGGGTACATTTAAGATCGCAACCACAACAAGCCTCCAACTCAAGACCTTATATCCTCAGTTTCTCGTTTAAGCCAGCGCTGTCTCTTTCGTATGATTGACTTGATGAAGACAGCTGGCCAGCTCTCCTAAGAACAGCCCACTTCCCATACATACCTGATTCCTTGGGATGCCCTTTACTTGATCTGCTGTCCTCTTGTTTCCTGAAAACTAGAGGTTTTAACTAAAGATGTGAGAGAGGTAAGCTAAACTCTTGGGGTCGGAATACTTCTTGGGAGATAACATGACATTTCACATTGCAAAACAAAACAGAAAACTTCTGGTTGGGTCACCATTAGTGATGGTAAAATGACCACCCAACAGTGACAATAACTGGAGGCTTTAGAGGGAGCACTTTGAAAGGGACAGGAGCAACGACACAGAATTAAGTGTGAATAAAACTTGGCTGCGTAAAGGAAGTAGTATGGGGTCAAATCGCGCTTCCCACGATGGCGTAGCGCTGATTGTGACCGACTTATCCTTTGATGTTCTCACAATCAGGAGAGGGAAAATAAAAACAAAAAATATGTACCTTTTTTGGGTGTTTCAGGATTCTGTGACTCTTCGGGGCAGTAGTTTTATAAAACGAACGTTCCCTTCATAAAACTGAGCTCACCAACATGGTATTCAGCCCACAGAGAGCCATTAGTATTATCCTCAGGTGTACAACCTGGGCCAAAACCTATAAAGCTAGCCAATTAGGAGCTCGATGGGTTCTGCTTTCGCTCCCTTTTTTTGTAACAGCCCTTGCTCTGCCTCTGGCCACCAGGGGGAACTGCAACCAAACAGCAGCTCTTTCTGGCGAGCGAGAACGCGCCCTACATAAATCTTGACCAAGCTAGGGTCCCGTAGCCAGGTGTTCAGGCCGAGGAACCGTATTTCCGCTTTGTCGCGAGCACGCTTAGGCTCCGCCCCCTTCCACCCCGCCCCGCAAGCGTTTCGGCCTGTGCGGGTGGCTCGCAGCAGGTGGCGCTGTTTGAGGCGACTCTGTGGCCCGGCTGCTGCGGCGAAGATCTCCCGGCGGGCTGTGCGGCCCGGCTCTCGGGCGGCAGCGAGTGCCACGTCCCAAGTACAGCGCTGAGGAGCGCAGCGGGCGGTGCGCGTGGGGCGGAGAGCAGCGCGAACCCGGCTCGGCCTCACCGATCGCCCGCCGCCATGGGCTCTTCGCAGAGCGTCGAGATCCCGGGCGGGGGCACGGAAGGCTACCACGTCCTGCGGGTAAGGGCTCCGACGGCGGCCCGGAGCGGCGCCCCGGAGGCGGGACGCGGCCGCGGGGAGGCGGAGGCCCCGAC